CGTACACCCTGTTACACAGCATGGATTGCATCAGCCACAATACCGACAGCTCAGCCCTCTTTCCTCATCCACTTGTTCCTCACATACTTGTTCCCCCGACTCCTCTCCCTACTGTCCGTTCTTGTCTTCCTTTTAGGCCACAGAGAATTAATTAAAGAGACCCTAGAAGGGTCCCCATCCTCCTCTGTTGACCTTGCTTTCCCAGTAGTTGAGAATTGGGCTAACTCATTGAATAACTGAGCAAGTAATTGGTGGGCTCAATTATCCAATGTACAGTCCATGTTTTTCCAAAGTAGCAGGGTGAGGAGGGACCATGTGCTGCTACCTATTGTCTTTCCTACTTTCCTAGATCCTATTCTTAACGTCATGTAGGAAATAAGTAATTGAAAGTCATTCTTCTCAAGTCTATTTATTAAACAAGCATTAAGGAAATATTCTTGTTTTGTAGGTAAAAAAAAAAGAGGTTGAGATTATATAATGCCTGACAGATATATGTATGTCCATGTGCACATGATTACATCCAAACCTCACTCACTCTCCTGTGGACATACCTTAACACACCAATACCAGATGGACTTAGCTTCATTTGCGTTTTTATAGTGAAACTGCTTTATAAGCTCTGGTAGGTTTTCCATCTGATTAACTAAGATGTACATTTTTAACATAATGGTTTATTCTTGAAGAGATGGTAGTAATTTTTAGAAAACAGTTTCCAGTGTAGCTGAAGTTCTGGTAACCGTAATTTGTTACACATTTGTTTTTTAATGCAAACTTTAGAGTCATTCTGTTGAGTTTCTTTAAAAAAATAGAACCATAAGCGTTCTTACTAGAATTTCATATACATATGGAAAATATTTGTATTTTTATGCTATGAAATATTTATATCCAGGAGGATGGGGCTTTTCTCTCTTTATTAAGTTCTTATTTTATGTTTTTCAATAAAATGTTATATTTATCTCCTGAAAGGTCTTGTACCTTTTTTGATAAATTCATTTCTAGATATGCTTTAACAGCTTTAATGAGGCATGATTTGCCTTATAGAGTTGTGCAGCCAACCCATAAATCAATTTTAAAACTTGTCCACCCCACAAAAAGTTCCTTTATGCCCGTTACAGTTAATGCCCACTCATAGCCCCAACCCTATAAATTTGCCTTTTTTGAACATTTAATTAAAATGGCATCATACACTATGAAATCTTTTGCATCTGGCTTCTTTTAGTTAGAATAATTTTTTTGAGGCTCATCTATTTTGTAGCATGTCGTGTACATGTCAGTAGCTTTCTTCTTTTTATTGCTGAATAGTATGTACTATGTGGTTTTACTACATTTTCTTTATCCAGCAGTTAATGGGTATGTGGTTTGTTTCCAGTTTTTACTATTATGAATAATGCTGCTGTAAATATTTGTATACAGGCATTTTGTGGGCATATGCTCTCATTTCTCTTGGGTAAATTCCTGGGAGTGAAATTGCTAGGTTGGACAATAAGTTTATGTTTATCGTTTTTGAAGAAACTACCAAACTGATGTATGATTTTACATTCTCACAAGCAGCGTATGAGGGTTCCAGTTTTTCCACATCATCACCAGCACTTAATATTGATGCCTTTTTTTTTTTAATGGTCATTATGGTGGATCTGGATCTGTATTAGTTACCTATAGCCACATACTAAATTACCCCAAAACTGAGTGGCTTTAAATCAAATATTTATTTATTTATTATTTATTATTATCTTTTTGAGACAGAGCCTCAAGCTGTCCCCCTGGGTAGAGTGCTGTGGCATCATAGCTCACAGCAACCTCCAACTCCTGGGCTCAAGCGAGTCTCCTG